TGTTTAGGAATTCCGGGCAGGCTCTTTAATTTTAGAGACCCAGACTTTGTCTTCGAGTAATTTGTTCTTGAATCAGCCTAATTATCTTCATTCTAGCCGTTGAAAATCAAGAGATTGATTTTTCCTTGCCACGGGTAGAATTTCTTCATTCAGGACTTAGATGATTTTCTAAGCTTTTTCTCACTTGTCCGCTTTCTGAGAATTCCGGTCTTTGGTGAGTCTTCCGATTCTTAACTGACAAATCCGGATGAGTCTTTTTCAGACTTCCGGGTGAGAAGGAGATCCGCGCTAGTCTTCCGATTTGAATGACTTAGCCTTTAGCGGGTTGTAGCGAGACATCTGGTCTTTATGTAGTCTTCCAGATCTGAGGATTTTTATCTGATTGAGAAATCCTCACTTGTCTCTGACACTTCCGATTTAAGATATCCAATTTTCATATCACTGAATTTGATCAAGTCTTCAGGCATCAAAACGCTTAAAGAAATATCACAGTTTTATTGAAAAACTCAAGAACTTGGTTTTAACAATATTTCTAAAAAGAAAAATTACATTGAATATTGGGGGAGACCTAAAGTCCCTATTACATTCTAAATAAATCATCATCAAAATCTATAATATTTTTCCCAACACAGGATATCAAGAAAATAGAGAACAACGCCAAGGCTATCAACATTCTTTATTGTGCAGTAAACCCGGATGACTACCGGAAGATCTCTTGTTGTTCCACCGCCAAGGAAATGTGGGACAAGCTAGAAATCACATATGAAGGTACGGATCAAGTCCGAGAAGCTAAGATAGATTTTCTAACCCATGCATATGAACTATTTCATATGAAGGAGAACGAGAAAATCGACGATATGTTTGAACAATTTTCAAAAATCGTAAACGATCTTCATGCTCTCAAGAAGACATATACAGACAAGGAGCTTGTAAGAAAAATCTTGCGGAGTCTCACACCAGAATGGCGCTCCAAAGCCGGTGCTATCCAAGAATCTATCGGCATCACCAGTGTCACCATTGACGGGCTTAGAGGTAACCTCAAAACCTATGAGTCTACCATTCTTTACCCCTCTTTAGGTGAACAAAAGAAGAATGTGATTGCACTCAAGGCGTCTACAAGTCAAGAACGTGATGTGGAGGACTCGAGTGACAAAGACGAGTTCGGGATCGTGCTCAAGAAATTCCATAAGTTCATGAGCCAAGAGTATGAACGGAAAGGAAAGAAGCAAGGAAGTCCACCCAAATGCTATGGGTGTGGAGAAGTTGGGCATATAAAACCAAAATGTCCAAACGCCAAGAACAAGAAGAAAATGTTCAAGAAGCACCGAGCCTACATCTCATGGGGAGGTGATTCCGGCGACGAGTCATCGGAAGGCGAAGAAAATGAGAGCGCCAACCTTTGCCTCATGGCACACGAGGAACCACCAGAAGAGGTATGTACCACTTCTAAAGATTCCTATACTTTTGATGATGTACAAGAAGCCTTTAATGAAATTTATGATGAATATGTCAACGCTTCTAAAATTAACAAGGATTTGAAGAAACAACTTACTTCCATGGAGAAGGAAGTTGATAAACTATAAAAAGATAATGAAAAACTTAAAGAAGAAAATGAGTTTTTCGGAAAAAGAAGCGCCGACAAACCAGAGAGTTCAAAATGTAGTTCTTGTATATCACTTAAGGATCAAGTTGCAAAACTTGAAGGAACTTTGAAGAAGTTTGGTGTTTCTCATAAAAACCTTAATGATGTTCTTGATAATTTGCAACTTACTAAACATGGCTTAGGTTTTGAAAATGAACCTAATAATAAGGAAAAAGTTGAGCAATCATCTAGGAAACCTAAAGCTCAACTTAGGAATAATGAAAATCAAGAAAATAGACAACCTAGAACAATTAGGAACACTAGACCACCTAGAAAGAACACTAGGATGAACAATGGTCAAGTTAGAAAACCTAGCAACTATTATCAACCTAGGAGAATGCATAATCCAAATGTTATTTGTCATTATTGCAATAGAGTAGGTCATATAGCACCCGTGTGTTTTAGTAGGAATAGGCATTACACGTATAACAAAACACACACTTTGCATGGAACTAACCTAATGAAATCCTTTGAAAAAGGATATTTGAACTCTAACCAATCCCTGCAGGAATCAATGCAAAAGAAACCATATTACTTCTTCTATTATGATGAAAAGAAGAAGATTCACATACCACTTCCGGAACCCACACAAATCAAACTGAGATATAGACATTCGGTTTGAGTAGACTGGAACCCGCCAACCGCAAAACGACAAGTTGGCCAAAGTAACACTTAAACACGCGTGTTGGTACATGTGTGTGTGTGTGTGTGTGTGTTTGTGTACCATGTGTATGTGATTATGGGTGCGTGTGTTTATTAGTTTAAAAAGTCGTGTTACTAATCCTCAAGGACCCAAAAGACCAAACGGGTACCAAAATGTTTTCATTGTAGGCGTTGAAGTCCGGGGGAATGTGAACAATCCTATTTACAGGCTTGTGATAATCGACTATCACAACCCACAGGAGTTGGAGAAAAGAAACTGAAGGAGCCAACAATCGATTATCAACATTGAGATAATCGATTATTTGAGCCTGCAGGAGTTTGAGGAAACTTAGCTGGAGACATCAACAATCGATTTACAAAAAACATGTAAATCGACTATTAAAGCCTTCAGAAGTTTGAGGCAAATCCTCTCCAACAATCGATTTACAACCAAGGCAGAAATCAATTATTCAAGCTTGCAGTTTCTTTGATGGAGAATCTGAAGACTCAGATAATCGATTTACAGGGAGTGTAAATCCATTATCAACGGCGATTTTTCAAAAATCTGACCGTTGCAGAGATGTTTGGAGAGCAATTAATGCATGTTTTGAACTCCCCAACGGATCTCCAGCCCACTCCTTTATAAATTGGTGATATCTATTCCATATTTACTCATTCAAATCATCCTTTGTCAATATATTCATCATTATTTCATCCTTCTTGCAATTATTCTTCAGTGTCTTGCAAAATCCCTGCAAATTTCTCTTCTTTTTGTCTTGCTATCCCTCTCTACTTTGTTGAAATGGTAGGAGGTCAAAGAAAACGATCTCGCACCGGGAAGAACGTTGCTTCCTCCTCGGATCCTCCTCCACCACCGGCGCACAAGTACCTTGATGGGTCGTTCCTTTGGTTCAACGACCGCGCAGAGGCGACGCGGTTCTTGGAAAAGTTTGAGCACCGGGAAATTCTCCCTCGCCAATTCTCCACCGCCCGCTTCATTCATGACTCCATTCCACGTAAGGCACGGGTTATCCTCGAATGTGGAAACTTCCTCGACCTCCTCTACATCAAGAAGGCCAATTATCACCCCTTTCTTGTTCGAGCTTTCTACTCGAACTTTAAAAAAGGATGAGGACGGAGCGTTACTCTCTAACGTCAACGGGGTGGACATATATTTGAATGAGGAAAACATTCAAATTCTCACAGGGCTTCGTCGGGACGGACAGGATCTCGGGCTCTACGTCGGAGAAGAAGGAGCGCGGTTCAACGAGACCGCCCTCTTGGAGGAAGTGGGCATCCGACACTTTGTCCCCACTCCCCAACAGCGGCGCCCTACGAGTGCTTCCATGAGTTTCGATTCATTTTTTATGTTTTGACACGGATTCTCAAGCCTATGAAGTTCAATCACACCACTCTCTCCCAGGAGGACACGAAGACAATTCATGCGATGATTCACAACGCCAATCTCAATTGGTGTAAATTTGTGATGACTCACATGTTCAACGCCACCTCCGACAACCGGCCGCTCCCCTATGCTCTCCATGTCATGGCGGTCCTTGATGAGTTCCACATCAAGAAGGACGTCGGGCCAAAATGCAAAGGAACAAAGCATTGGGAGATTGACGAGTCTTCCTTCCCGCCGCCGCTTCAACCAACCCTTCTCTTGCCGAGCAAATGGCAGCTTTGACCACCACCCTCTCTCACCAACGTCTCCAAAACAGCACACAACGTCAATATCTTGAGCCGTGAGCTTCACGGGTATTTTGACTTTGTCAATTACCCGTACGCTCAAATGGTCCCCTACGTTCCTCCACCAAATTTCGGAGGTGAACAGAGTGGGACTCAAAACGTTGGTAGGGACGACGCGGTGGACGAAGACGAAGAAGAAGAAGAAGCCGATGATGATGATGATGATGATGATGGCGATGGTGATGAAGATGAAGAAGAAGAAGAAGACATTGACGAAAACCAACTTCTCAATGATCTTTCACCGGATTTCTAGAGCTCTAGCTCTACTTTCTTCTCTTCCTTATTTTATCATCTTTTAATATGCTTTCGTTATGTACTCCGCTATTTCCCTTAATTAATTAATAAAATTCTTTATGATTTTTGTTGTTAACAATTTGTTTGTTAATGTCAAAAGGGAGAAGATAAGGGCTATGCATATATTAAGGGGGAATTTTTTATTAAGGAGGAATTTTTTCAAAAAGATCAAAACCCTATGCATATCCCCGTCTTGTTTGCCATTATCAAAAAGGGGGAAATTGTTAGAACACACTTTGTTTGATAAACTAAAGTCGTGTTCATTTCTGACAGGTTTTGATAATTGCCAAACCGCCGTGGATATAAAGAGTTTCATTGAATAACTCAAGGTGTGAAGAATGTCTTGGAACAAGACCAAAAAGACTCAAGGACAAGATCAAGAATTGAAGACTTAGTCGAGTCGGTCTTTTGTGATCAAAACCGACAATAAATTCAAGTCTCGGTTCTCAAAAAGTCAAAACAATTTTTACAAATCACAAAATATTTTTTGTGCATCAAAACAAACATTTTTGATGGTTTCTTTTATTGTTAAAATCCCTGGTCCTTGCTCGGAACCGAAACCACCTAAGTCGGCGTTCGGCTTTCAGCGTTCGGCTTTAGGCGTTCGGCGTTCGGTTTTTGGCGCCCAAACCAACTCTGTTGTTTTCAATATTTTAAACCCTGTTTTTACCTCTGAGCATTTTTAAAATGTTCCCAAATAATTATTTTATAAAAACCACTTTTGTATCTTGGTCAATCGGTCTAGCACGTGAAAAATGGTCAAAACCGTACGCACGTATTGTACGACCTTGGAGACTTGGTTTTTACCAAACAAGTCTTGTTTTCACTATTTTATACCATATACAATATTTTTCAAACCTGGTTTTTACTTTTGGGAACACTTCGTTTTTGGACCTCGGTTTTTCAAAACGGGTTTCAGCTGGCTAGACTTTAGCTGGTTGAGAACTATGCAAATGCAATAAACATGCTTTATTGTGCCGTAAATCCTGATGACTACCGCAAGATCTCTTGCTGCTCAACCGCCAAAGAGATGTGGGATAAACTTGAGGTGACGTACGAAGGAACGGACCAAGTACGTGAAGCCAAGATTGACTTCCTCACCCAAGAATATGAGATGTTCAGGATGAAGGAGCACGAGAATATCGATGATATGTTCGACCGTTTTTCCAAGATAGTCAACGATCTTCATGCATTAAAGAAGACTTACACCGACAGGGATCTTGTGCGAAAGATCCTACGAAGCTTGACATCCGAATGGCAATCCAAGGCCGATGCCATATATGAGTCAATCGGCACATCAACTGTCACCATCGACGGTTTAAGAGGTAATTTAAAAACTTATGAATCTACTATACTTAACCCGTCTTTGAATGACCAGAGAAAAGGCATAGCATTAAAAGCCTCCAAAGAACCGACAATGAATGACTCAAGCGA